TGGAAGACCCTCAAAATAACTTTCTGGTATCAAGGAACCCCTGCTAAACCTTAGTATAGTTACAACCTACGGTACATTGGTGTGATGGTCAGTGAGAACACTTGTGGTCATTGGGAAGAATTACCTTCTTACAGAAAGCTAAAATGATCAATGGTACCTGTAGAAACGTATCTGAGAGGCAGAAAGAACAAAGCTCACTATCAACAACCTGGAGCTAACAGCTATAAAACTTGATCTGAATCAGCACTCTCCTTCTTCAGGGTCACATAATCAGATGTTATGGCTGTGGCCTATATCAACCACCCGTAAGTCTCATGGGTGAAAAAACACTGACAAGCCCTCTCTGCTGTTCACATCCCGTGAGTGGACAATTAGAAGACGGATTCCCTCAGCTGTTACCACTCGGACCAAGGAGAATGGACCCTTTATCATCATATCTTATATCTCCTATGTCAGAGATGGGGAACTCCAGATGTGGACATTCTGGCCTCCAGGTACAACATATAAAAAAGCCAGAAAAATGTGTTGTGTGCTTGGTTTATCTGTTTTGGTATATTTTTGTGTTTAAATATCTGTGAGTGCAGACGCTTGTTCTGTTTGTATAATTAATCACTTTAAGAACAGTTTCACTGTTATAGTTTTGGATTTTACAACATATACGTCTTCACCCCAGTATGAATTCTGCCTCCACTGCTCCGCAAATGCAAAAGAAGAAACTGATGATTCTGGCCCAGGAGAACCTGGTTACACAGACATGCTCAAACTTCTAGGAGATGATCCCTGGCCTCTTCCAAACAGACCAAACTTTCTGTCTCAGGTCCCCTTATTTCAGTGGTCTCCAAACTGTGGCCCTTTGCTTGCTTTTATCCAGCCTTTGGGCCACTTTTCACCTGCTATCAGCAACAATGGAGCATAGTTCCTGCTCTTGATACCTACAATGGGGCATTATTCCTCTCACTAACACCAACAATAGGGCACTGTTCCTCCCCCTAATACCAAAAAGAGGACACTCTTTACTCCCACTGACACCAATACATTTTCTACTCCCGCTTGCCACAGCCCAGCCCTCCTAAAGTTTGAAGGACAGTAAACCGGTCCTTTGTTTAGAAAGTTTGGAGACCCCTGCCCTATTCCATTTTGCAATTACATGGCTGTTGAAACCTAGGTCTTGAGGGACAGAGGTGTCTCTGATTCTGTGACTCCCACATTGCATAAAGTCACAAAAGCCACATCTTTCCTACAATGGGCCTCAAGTACTCTTAAAAACCTTTATTCGAGTTGTTTAATGAATTCGATTTCCTCTATGCTCTGCAAAAACCACTCTTTGAACCCATGAGAGAACACTCTTTGATATGATCTTTCCTGCAAAGTGACCTTCTTAGTGGTTATCACATTTGTCTGTGCTCTCTCTTGCAAGGAGCCCTATTCTGATCCTTTACAAAGGCAAAGCAGGCCTGCAACCAAGACCTATCTTTCTGCCTAAGATCGTTTCTATCATCTTAAAGAAGACATAGTCCTTCCCTCTTTGTGACCTGTTCCTAAGCACCCCAAATGCAGGGTCTGCCTTAATGTTGTCATCAGGGCCTCACAAAGGACATCCTGCTTCAAATTTCTGTCAGGCGGATAAGACACCTCTAATACTCTAAGGCAAGCCATAGATGATTCAATTTTCTTTCCCTTCTCCACTCAAACACTGACTGTGTTGATGGGGCAATCCCTCCTGCTTTTTTGCTATTGTGTTCTGTCAGCAGGGAGCCTTCCCAACCGGCAGAACACAATGATTACTGCTAGCCATTATAGCTGCCAGCAGTAATTACATTTATAAATATCCAACAGGCTGGTTGTACCCAAGTTGATCAATGGATCGACTTCGATACAACCAGCCTGCCCATGGATGATCAAATCTTCAGCCGATCCCTACTGAACAGGCTGAGATCCAATCCATCTATGTCCCGGCTTTATTCCGTTATTGGTAGATGTTTTCTGGGCATTCCAACATCAAACCTCTACTGCCCAGCTTTGCAAGGATGCCACCTGGTCTTAGTTCACACCTTCTAGAATGGGGGTTGACAACCCATTGTTCACAATCTACCCATCGATCATGGGCAGGTGATGGTTAGACCGCATTCCCACCTTGCAGACCCTCTGTCTGAAGTGATCCTTCCCCACCTACAGAGTGGTGCAGGGAAGTGGCATGCATAAGTGTACTGTGCTGATCCCCACCAGCTTCCTTCCTCTCCCATCCATACAAGGAGCTTGTATGTGACATCATATGGAATGGATGAGAGAAAAGGCCAGTGGGAATCCGAATGCCAGAAGAGCAAACAGCAACGTGTTACTGTGACTTCCCTGCTCTGCATATGGGTGAAATCTCTCATCCAACTGACCTCCTGTCCTTCACCCTGCTGCACCCCTGTACACTGCCTCTGCTGACCCTTAAAATCTCCCTCACAAACTGCTGACCCATATACTCTGCCCTACAAACTAATGACCTCTGTACACTGCCCTACATACTGCTGAACTTTGTGCACTACCCCAAAAACTAATGACCACTATGCATTGCCCTACTCACTCATGATCCCGTGTACTCAACCCTAGAAACTACTAACCCATGTACACTGCCCTACAAACTAATGACCCCTATACACTGCTCTACATACTAATGGCCCCTGTACATTCCAATACATCCTACTGACCTCTGTACACTGGCATACATACTACTGACCCCTGCACACTGCTCTTCCTACTACTGACACACTCACCAGAACTTAATCCATTCAGTTGGGCCAGAGCTCAGAACAAAATTAAGGCCAGCAAGGCCTGAAATTAGCTAAACAACTCAGCCTGCAGCACCAGATGTTCTGCCTTCATGATAAACTCCAGCATCAAACTTGTTGGAGTGACCAATTACTCTCCAGACATGAAAAAAATTGTAAATTAATGTAAATGTCAAGTTTCTCACTGAAGCTAACTTTTAAGAGAGGCAAAGCTTTTATTTTTTACAGTGACATTTGTTTTAATAGATTTTTCTAAGATTTCTTGCCATCCTTAAATTTATTTGGACTCGCTGGTTTATTTCTACTCAGCATGCAAGCAGCTAGAGCCACGACAAATTATAGAGTGATGCAGAGGTGTTTGGATCACCTACTTTGGGAGTCTTTCCTACTGGTTTATGTGAAGGTGAAGATATAGTTATATGATACCATTCCCTATGCATAGATGGTGGAGAGAAGCTTACGAGAGGGCAAAGATACTTATATTCTGAAGTTCATTTGGATCTAATTAGCACTAATAGATCAATTTATTCAGGTGAGTGAGCCAGCCTAATGGGCATAAGCACTGGAGAACAAGAGTGTTTCCTTTGCACAATAATAAACATGTTATACTTTCCTGTTCTGCGCAATTGTTTTGCATAGAGCAGCCTCGATCCTCCTTTTCTCAGGTCCCCCACCAGCACTCTTGGTCCCCCCCCCCGCCTAGTGCCCCCATGGTAAGCTGCTTTCCATGGGGGCACTCGGTAGTGCTTACTCCCGCGCCTCCCTGTCTGCATCTATTGACACACACAGAGGAGCTTGACCCCATCCCCTGCTCCCTCATCACTGGATTTGATCGTCTGCTATCAAGCTGCCCAGTGAGGAGGGACAGAGATGGGAGAGCCAAAGGTCTTGTGTACAGTGCTTGTTCAACATCCGGCTCAGGTAAGTATAAGAGGGGCCAGGGGTGGAGTCTTTGATACAGAAGGTTATTTACCTTAATGCATAGAATGCATAAAGTTGAAAAACCTTGAGGCCTTAGAAGCACTTTAAAGTATGGCTTGTAATATATAGATTACCTAATATTCAATCAATATGATACATATTATTTAGTGCTACTTCTTCCTTTTGCTATTTCATCTGGTGTTACAGGGGGAACACGTATTAGCAGCAGCTGGGTTCCAGTTAGGAGAAGGGTATAGAATAGAGTGCGGGTGTCCTCTAATATTTTCTAGGAATATCCAGCCTGTGTTTACAGGTATTTACAGGTAAGTCAAAATTCCTCTTTTTTCTGCTCTAAATGCTTTCTGCATACAATACACAGCAGTTCTAAATACCTGTAATTGTGCACCATAAATAATATATATGTTTTAGTTACAAACATTTTATAGAACAAACAAACAGTCAAGCAGATTACACAAGAAAGCATTTCAACAGGTCTCACCTTTCAGTTTGACAGCTCCCACTCCCTATGCATCAGGAGTTCAAACAGTGGCTTCTGAGGGGGTAAGTAGGAGGTAAGTCTGCAGCCCCAATACCCTTGCATCAGATTAACCCCCTTTGTGGAGATGTTTTTAGTTCCTAGACTGTCATCTGGCCACATATTTACCCATGACACAGGTATCTCAATCAATACACAGCTGTTCAATCTCGAATAACTCTCAGCAACAATATGAACTAGATAAACTCTAACAGAAACATATTTGGCCCTCATAGTGTTAAATTGAAGCATACTGCTCTAGGAAATATTGAAAGGTTGTGTTTGGGGATATAGAAGACAGGAAACATATCTTTGCTGCCAATTTGAAGATTTTGTCAGTGTGCCACACTTCAGGAAAACACATTAAACAGAGCAGATAAAAAGTGCCATCTCTCAATATTTCCTCTGCAAGTCTGAGGCTGCATGTTCTTTAATATCTTTTCTGTTTGTGTACAGTTTCCCCCTCCAGTCATTTCACAGTTACTCCGACTTCTCCTAGAGTTTATTCATTTGCACATTGGGTGCTTGAGGGAGGTCTAAGCACATCTAAATATACCAGCTCTTCCGGGGAAATGATAGATGTGTTTCTGGCTTAATCTTATACTGCAATGTTAATTACATGAAAGCAGCAATAAGGCATACTAATTATATCAGTCCTGTGGGAAGTTTACTGCAGTTACATTTATACAGAGCTGTTCTTGTAATTAGGAACATGTTTTACTACAAAACACAAAAGGCTTCGTCTTACCTGTGAGATGGATGGGGCCCGGGTCCAACACTGAGCATCTCTCTGGGGGCTTCCTGTACAGGTTGAAATCAATGTTTCGCTTAGGCCAGCTCCAGCGGTCTCGGGAAAGGGTGGGCTGTAGAGTATTTGCATGCAGTATATTTTCTTTCCAGGCCTTCAATAAAAATGAAAACAGTATATACAGTATGTATTTACTCTCTCAGACTGACCTTTCTAAAAGCGAGGGGAGATGTGGCTGTGCTACGTTAAGACCTAATTAAACTTGCACAGAAACTATTTGGCTGTCAAGCCTGACCTTTCCATTTTGTAGGTTTTAAGAAATAAGTTTTTATTGTTTTCATCTAGATATGTTGCTTTTTCAGTCCTAAGAAATACAAAAAAATCAAATTTAAACTTTTTTGATTTTTTTTCTTAGTGACTATTTATGACCTATACCTGGGGTATTCAAGCTAAGGCCTGCAACAAAATGCTTCCGGCCCAGAGTTGAGGTAAGGGGGACTCTGATGGTGACCCTAATGTAAGGCGGCAGTCTGATGTGGACAAAGGGGGACTCTGTTGTGAACTTTGACATAAAGAGTATTCTCATGTAAGGGGGCATTCTGATAGGGACTCTGATGTAAGGTGGGATTCTAGTGGGGACCATTATTAAAAGGGACTCTGATGAGAAGGTGCAGACCTAATGTATTTTTGTTTGACCTTTATTAAGAATTTCAGTGCTTTGTTTTACTGAAATTGTTGTTCTACATCTCCAAGTAAAACATAATCATTTAAATTGTATTTGTTAATTTAATAACAGATTTTTTTTTTTGTCATATATATGATATGGCCCTCACACTAAAAAGCTTGGAGACCCCTGACCTATACAATCTGCTATAACACAGAGAGACACACAGGACTTAGTAAACAAGCTTTAGAATACTTAAATGCAAATTCTACAAATTAATCAAAGTGTGAATAGGGTTCAGGAGGGCAGTAGCAGGAATGATCAAAACCTTAGAAAGCATTACCTTACTAAAAGAGTACTTGATACTTGAAACAGACTTCCAACAATACCTTTTCTCATCAGCAGTTAGAGCAGTCTTGTGACTTCAATCAAAGTCCGACCGAGCACTGGTTAAAGTTTGTAGGAGGAGTGTTCATTCTCCTCTCACTGCCCTATGAGACTGCATAACCCCTGACCCTTTGTCTGGACAGTGCTGATTGGCTCTGTGCTGATCACATGCACCCTCCCAAGAAAAACTCTCTAGCAGACACACCAAACTGCGCATGTGCAGAATGTCCCCTAGGCTGTGTTCTATCAGGTGATGAAATGGGGAGCATGGAAGAAGGAGAGGATCGGAGAAGTCAAGATCAAACATTCTTTTTACACAATGCAGAGGGTTAACCGCTTAAGTTCCACAGTGAATATAACAAGCACGCTTTACTGCATATACAGACTGATTTTACTGTTGTGGGTTTAGTAACACTTTAAAGTGATGGAGGCTGCTATCTTGGTCTCTGTTTGATCTGCAGCTGTCATGCTGCTGCACATTTGATCAGTTATGACACCAGCCATTTAACAGTGTGGTTGAAAGCACAAGCAAATATGACAGATAGCAAACGTTACATTGATAGTTTTATAAAGAACCAGCAAACACAAATGCTCATACGCTTGGGGATGGACTCGATGCAGGCTACAACCACATTAAGAATGTCCTGGAACATGCAATCCTTGCTGCCCTCAATAGACCGGGGAAATCCAAATATACTGAATGAGGAAAGAACAAACAGAGGGCGCACAGGCCTAGTGCATTACCATAAAAAATGTTTAATAAGAAATAAAGTAGGTGTTGTACTCGCAAACGACAATAAAGTGAAGGCACGTCATAAAAGAACAGCTGGGTCAACACCGCGCTGAGTAACAGTTCACAATAGGGAGTGTAGACATCCAATAGGCTGACACGTTTTGAGGACTTGCCTCTTCCTCAGAGCCGACTGACCAAATGCCTGCTCCCTCTTTTATATGCTCACTACTAGTTGAACCAAAGGTCACATGGGCCCTCCTGGACACTCCCCTATGCAGGGGGAGGGGTCACAGGGGCAATTGACATAGTATAAGTAGAATAAAGAAGCCACTTGCTGGTGCCAGTAATACGGTCAATCCTTGGTCTGCCCTGTTTGATCAAAGGGGCAGTTTCAAATGCGGTGTGACCAATTGTGGAACCTGCAAATACATGTGCCACAGAAAGAAAGAGGTGGCTGGCACCAATGGCCGTACATATAAGATTAAGCAGTTTATCAAGTGTGGCACTTCCTTTGTGATCTATGAGCTCATCTGCCCCTGTGGGCTCCTATATGTTGGCAGAACCATGCGTCCCTTGAGGGTCAGGTTCGGCGAACACAAGTGTAACATCATTAATCACAAGGAGAGCAATAAAGTCAAATACAAATATTCTGTACCATAGCACTTTTGGGAGGCACACAGTGGTGAACCATCAGGCATGAAAGTCTTTGGGATTGAATCCATCACAGGAGATTCAGATGGTGGAAGAAATTTTCCAACGACATTCATCCATTCTCCTTATGTTCAAAGAATTTTCGTATGACTTTTCGTATGAATATTCTTGTCCGAAAGTCTACAGTTGTATGGTCAGTTGAAGTCTGCACGCCTAGGTGCTTGATTTTATAAACCTGTGGCCATGGAGGTGATTGAAACACCTGAATCCAATGATTTGGAAGCGTGTCTCTATACTTTTGACAATATGGTGTAATTTGAATGGTCATTTGAGGGGTGAACCATTAATTCAATTTACTGATTTACTAGAAATACACAGGTCATGGTTTGGTATTCTTATAGGATATGTACTCACAAATCTTAGTTCAGTCCTCAGAACAGTTTAGCTTGTTGTTTACAGGCAACAGTACGCTTTCATTTAAATTCAAAATGCTTGAGATGTAATTAATCAGTTGAACATAAACAATCTAAGCTCTGACATTTTGACATATAATATGATGTCCTCCACTTGCTGTATCATTAAAGCATATTAGTTTTCTTTTGATGGAGCCTGGGTGCTTATGTGGCCTGTTATGTGCCAGCGATTACAATGAGCATTGAGTATGCAATGCTCAAATTCTTAGCTATTATCAGCCATAAGGAAAACTTCAAGTAAATATGCAGATACATATATGCCAACCCAATCCTACCTCTCCCAATCTGCTATTTCCATTTTCTAATCTGTCTAGTGCAAGGCCAACTTTATGAGGTTAATAATAAGGTTTTAATAGCTAGTTTGATCACACTATCACTGGCCACAGATACAGAATGTAACAAATGTGCACAATGTGATAAAGACTGAATTATTCTTAGCTACTTGCAAGCTAATATTTTTGAAGTGTCCATGTCTATGCAATGAAAAGCCCCAACACAATATAGGGAAAAAATGCTATCAGCAAGGGACGTCTTCTTTGAGCTTTGGTACCCACAGGTATAACCATGGACATATCAATGTGGAATTCAGATGCCAGTCAAACTAGGAGCTATTAAACACTTTTGATGGCATCACATATATTTCCATAGACAATACAGTAAATGGAAAAGGCTTACAAAAGTAAGGTGCTAGTGATGATGCTCCGGGCACATTAGATATCTGGCTCTTGGTATCTACCATCATCTATGTATATTTATTATATGCAATTATAACATGGCTCAGAGTAACTCCTCAGAATGGGCCCTGTCACCTACTCCCATTTTTAACATCATTAGAGATGCTGAGTCCTCCACGGGCTTCATATTGCAATGTTATGCCATGCTCTTATGGTCTTTCCTTAAACTACACCCGTTAAGGGTGACAGAGAAGTGGGAAGGGGAAGTAGGTCACCTCATGGGGGACTACTGGGAAGAGGCCTTCCAATCAGTGAATCATAAAACTAAAAACATTCAGGCGCTAGATTGTGATGTTATGCAACATGTCCTTATACAGTCTATAAAACAAAACCAGCCAAACAGCAGATGATAATCAGTAAATCACTGTTGTGCTGTCCAACAGCTCCAAGAGGAATAACACCAGGAGTGGTGTAGTGGAATATGTGATCAATAAGTCCACGGTAAGCGCATGTCCTTATCTACTATTAGTGGCATCTTGGGTACTATTTACATTGAATAATCGATATAATAACAGCTTGCAGCAGAGACCTCATGCCTTTTTATGCCCAGGTACGGACTTTCTATACATTTGTTTTAATATGAGGATCTATTATCAATTACCTCATTAAAGACTATGATTTGCACTAAGCGCTTATTGCGGACTATTGGATCATGTCTTCCAATCAGTAGTGGCCTGTTTTTTAAATGTGACACATATTCTAACGCAATTATACATTCTTCTGCAGGTATATTATACTTCTTATGGATTATACACCATGGGTCTCGTGCCAGCACCCCTTTGCACAAGATGCAAATGAGATCATGGAGATCTGATCCATCTCCTATTGAGATGCTCAAAATTACACCCCTATTGGAAAGGGGTGATTGATACACTGTGTTTCAGGTTTCACTCCCCTTGGATCCAAAATGCTGCATACTTAGTATGCTGGATGACTTAGATCTAGAGATATTTACCAATGAGGCTATAATAAGGGCCTTGTTCCAAGCTCGCAAATTAATACTTGTGCGCTGGAAGTCAGAGGATGCCCCCACTCTCGGGGCAGTAATCTGAGATTAGAGAAATATGTATACCAGCACAGAGGATGTCCAAACAAATATAAAAAATTATGGGCACCATGGTTAGAGGTTCCTAGCTTGGCATCTACTGATCTAATTGTGGACAGGTTGTTGAGAAGTCACTCATGGTAATGATGTACTCTAGGCCCTTGCTTGATAAATAGACATAGTCTCGTCTAAGTAAATGTGAACTTATTTTAATAATGCTGATGTATAAGCTTTCTGTGATACTTGATACTGCTTTGGTTGCCTTGCTTTTACACACACCCTTCCTAGGGTGGTGTATGGTACTGTCTTGTATGGCAATGCTTTGGTTCTACCTTTCAATAAACCTTTTTCCCAGATAAAAAAAAAGATATCTGGCTCTTGGGATTTGTCAATCTCTGAACACAACAAAGAATAATAATGTCATTGCTGAGTAGTAGTAATACAGTGCCTCCACTATGGCATTAAAGTTTCCCCAATCACTCATTTGCCTAACTTTTCTCAATATTATATATCAGGTTTCATATATAAAATAAAAGAAAAACAAAATGGGGTAAGGAATTATAGGTAACAACCCATAGCTGCTCTGTTTTGGGAAGTGCGTGCTATTGTTTAAGCCCCGCACCCCCTCCACTGAATCTTCTCTGCAGAAAATCTCATCAGAACATCATCTCCTATTCCAGTGTTATGAGAATGTGGTTACTTTTAACATCTCAGGACTCCATAATCATTTGTAAACTAAATTATAAGGGAAGGTAGCAGAGACTGTATGGGCTTTTTTAACAATATCTTCAACTACTTAGCTTTGACCCATTGTTGCAATATAATGTGTGTGTTACATATCTCCATTTCACAAACACATTGAAAATACTGGTTAGTGAACCTACAGCTACACAACACACCTTTGTTAATTCTAGTATCCGGGAATCATCTGGCCTTTTGGGGTGTCTGTTGCAATCAATGCTGCTTTTGTATCCTGGATATATGAATCCATTTGACGTCATCCATTCCTCCCTGGACTTTGCACTTTTGTTCTTAAGTTCCTCCTGAATGTCCACTGGACTCACAGTTGCTGACTGGAAATCTGCAGAGTATGTGAATCTGTGGTTTGACTCCTGTGGATCAGAAAATTATATAAAATAATATTTAATGACTTAGGATAAGTTCACTTTTTGTAAATAAAATAATACATGCACTTTTTTATATACAGTAGGTAAAAAAAAAAGGGGGCATGTCATCATTTTTTTTTTCTAAGCCTGCAGAGTATTGCACCCGCAATCAGCTGATCATGGGTGCAATGCCAGGATCCTGCAGACTCTCAGTACACTGTCTGCCCATACCTCCCGTACAGGTAGACATGAACTGCAGGAAGATCAATGAACTGCGAGAGCACACACCAGCACCCTTACAGAGAATTACAAGCCATCTGCCGCAAAAGCAGAGGGTAGTTTTTAGTTCATTCATTCACAGAACTCTGTGAATGAATGATGTGACCATGTGGGCATAGCACCACATAGCCGCACGGTTTTTAAATTGTGACAACAGGTGCGGGGTAAGGATCCCCTGCCCAATGTCACATGGGGCTTATTGGGGGGAGATGGGGAGTTACATGGGTGTAACATGTTCAGAAAGCTGAGCTTAGCCTTTAATGTCAAGATTGTTAAATCAATGTTTTCAGATAGAAATTGTTACAATTTTGTAACAGTATTGGCTACCATCATAAAACAGTTGCCACCTAAGTGTAGGTCAGGAGACATTATGTAAAGCTGAACTACACCTACTTTCCCCCTCCCCTCCTAAATGCCCCTTTCCCCCAACTACTTTTCATTTTTTTATTTGCTTTATACATAGCTGTAATCATGCAGTCTTCTGGGTGGTTGCTCTTTTCTGGCAGCAGCAGTGGGCTGTCCTTCCTCCTGGACTGAGTGGCACTTATGTAATAATGCATGAGTGCTGAGCAGTTGAGGAAAAGTGTGAGCCCAGACTGAGGGATGACATCCCCCCTCTTGGGCTCACAGGAAGAAGATTGAATTATGCTGGCTGTCTTTTAGCAAGGAAGGCTGGTGACATCTAGCGGCTAAAAGGAATTACTGTATGGGGGCAGTGCCGAATTAATAGTGAGCATTGCAGCAAATGTAGCTTTATTTTTACTATTCCTGGGGATTTAAATTTTTTTTGACTGGTGTTCTATTTTAAAGTCTTATTTACATTTAATTTAATACATACAACCCCAATCAATTTCACATTAATAAGTGTTCACATGTGCTTTACCTCTTCCATTTTCTGTCGTAGTATTCTGTATGCCAGTGCCGTGGAATTTAATGTATGAGTGCTGTAGTTGTGAACAGCCACCCCATCCACAGGGACGATCTCCACATACTCAACTCTGGGTCTTCTCACCTTTCTGCTTAATTGATAAATGTTCTTGATGTTTCTCTGCATGTCACAGAACAATATTCACTTAAAATAGATGTTTATTGCAAAGATTCTACAGGTACAAATTGATGTATATTAATTAATCCCTTTCACTGCTGTGGGTCATCTTTAGAGAGCTAAGTCACATTGATGATACTCAAATTACAACCTGAGATTTCACCAATACTCACAAAACCAAAACATTTTTTTATAAAGCACAGAGTATTTTCCTAATTTACCTATATTTTCAACTGGAAATACACTGCATTTTACTACCATACAAAAGATAAAACAGTGGTTAGTTAATAAATAGATTGCTAAAAATGCCCATGTTTATGAAATATGAATTGATGATGGATTTGAGGGATAGGAGTCCCTCAGGCTTTGTAACTTGCTGAAGGTGAGAAAGAACCCCGTCCTGTAGAGTTTACTACTGCACATGGAAAGCATACTTTGCTTGGTTCAAGGAATAAAAGTGGGTTTTTGATTTACTTGTACAATCCCTTTCTTGTAAAATCTCTTTCTCAGAGTACATCACAGGATACAGGTCCCTCTACCCCTTGTTTTAATCCAATATTGCTTACTGACAAAACTGAGGCAGTGCTGGGAGTGGGAGGGGCTATACAAGGCTGAGTCAAGCTTTGCTACTTTCCAGTATCTAATCACCTGTACACATGATAAAAAAATGATTTTTTTGACATACCTGTAAAATCTTTCTTGAAATACATCACAGGACACAGAAGAGTTAATTATTGGACCATTAGGTTGTGCGCCACCTCCAGGCGACTGGATAAAAAATGTGCAATGTTCTACACCAGAAATGGTTCTGGAGCTTCTTTGGCATGTTTGTCATGCATAGGGCACTCCATTCAAGTGAATGGGCTGCCCTATACATGTCGAATGAAAAACTTGTGCAGGAATGCGAGTTCCTGCTATGTTAGGTGTGAATGCAGGCTTACCAAACTCTTTACCATTTATAAAGGGGTTTCAAAGTAAGGGTCTCAACATTGAACCTTGGGGTACACCACAAATAACCTTAGACCATTCAGAGAATGACTCATTAATCGCTACTCTCTGAATAAGGTTGTTTAGACAATTTTCTACCCATTTACAAATTTAATTTTCTAAACCTATGGACTATATTTTACCCATCAACTGTGTTTGGGCAATTGTCAAACGTTTTTACATAGTCCAAGAACACGCTATCTACAGTTATTCCTTTGTTTTTGCGTTCTTGCTCATAAAAAGAAAGCAGATTTGGTGAAAGAAAAGAGATTGTAGCATTTTATGAATCCACGCTGACTCTTGTGTATAATACTGTATCTGAGGTTACTTGGTAAAGACTGTGATATCTTATAAATATGGGCACTACAAAGGCTTTGAGCCAATCTAGTGGTACTGAGCCAGTCATTACGCAATCTCAAAAAATTATAAACAATGGCTTCGAAATAACAGAGCTTTTTTTCTTTTGGGGCTATGTCAATACTATCCCCATTATTGAGTTATCTTGTAAAGGATCTATATGCTCAGACTTGACCTGTTCACTAATAATTTATTTAGTATTTGGGGGGGGGGGTTGTCCCATTCTCTTTTGCAACTCCTCACTCAGTTTGGATTTCTGCAGCCTTGATTTCCTTTTACATATTTTCATATATTCTTAGTAACCTTTCAAATGAGGATAATGTTCCTTAGTTTTTAAATATTTTTTAAATCACATTTTCATTCTATGGCTTTTTTAACGTGCGTGTTTTCTTTCTATGGCTTTTTTTTAACATATATGTGTTTCCTTTCTCATTTAACTGTTTTAATCATTCATAAAATTATATGACCTTTTTCACTCTCCCATTTTTTATAACCTTTTTACTGCCTTAACAGGAGCTGATTTGCTCTCTATGTACTAAGCATATTGATGCCTTCACAGCCTTATATCTTTCTGGGAACCTATGGAGGGATCACATGACCATTAGGTCATGTCTGAAATATTTCCTGGATACCTACAGCAGTCAAGACAAAAGAAGACACATCACAAGTATATTCAATGTCAGAGATTCAACCAGGAGATCTGCACCCACCTTAATGTGATCTTTGATCTCTTGCCTCTCCATTTCCCACTTCAACAGAATGTATGCTTGATTGTTATTATCTAATGAGCTGTGCAACAGTGTTTCCTGTACCAGTTATCTTCCCATTCAGAAATCACCAAATTTTTATTAAGGTTAGGATCAGTGCCAGCAAGCAAGTCATCAAAATTGAATGGAATTCCAAATTCACGGCTCAGAAGGTGGATCATATCTGCGGAGGGCAGCAGGTTGGCATGGATGATGTCTCGCAGTTTTTTGGCACTGCGGATATAGTCTAACCTAAAATAATTACATATGTATGTAAATATCCTAAAGGATACATACTATACTTCCATACAGTAATGTAAACAGTAGTAATTAGATTAGAGCATGTGTAGAGTTTGCAGACTCTAGGGAGCTTCTTTTTTTCTGCAACAAGACGTAACATAGATGTGATTTTATTATACATTTATGGGCAAACATAGCTATACATATGTGACTTGCAAGTCAGGTACACCCCATGGCAGTTATTTTCTTCAACATATTTAAACAGGTGAACAATCAAACAGTACCTACAAAAGAAGGTGATATATTTGAGTAACAAAGAACAAAAGAAAAACATGCTTTTCAATCATTTACAAAAAAAATATCAATAGATGTAATAGCACTATAGAAAAAATATGTACACCCTTGGCATCACAATTTTATATTGCCCTCTGTGGGAGAGAGAGAGAGAGAGACTACGACTACTGTTTTATATATCCCTATACATTGTGCTCATTAAGAAACACATCTAAACGTTTTTTAAACGTATCTACACTCTGTGCTGACACTACCTCTATGGAAAGGAGTTCCACAACCTCACCTCTATAACAGTAAAGAATCCCTTATGCAATTTAAATTGTTTTTCATCCAACTCCGTTGTGTGGCTGAGTGTCTTCTTTAAGATTAAAATGTTTCCTCTCAGTGTTAGAGTACCCATTCAAGGATTTGTATATTGCTATCATATCCCCTTTTAAGCACCTTCTCCAGTAAGAATAGGTTTAATGTTTATAGGCGTTCTTCATAACTGAGGTCCTCCAGCCCACTTATTAGCTTTGCTGCCCTTTACTGGACTCTCTACAGTTCAAGTCCTTCCTGCGAATTGATGATGGGAACTGGATGGCATACTCAAGATGTGGATGAACAAGAGTTGTGTAAAGTGGTAGAATAGTGTCTTGAGTAAATATCAAATACCCTTTTTAATACATGCCAATACTCTGCTGGCCTTGCTTGCTGCAGATTGGCATTGCATGCTTTTGCTGAGTCTGTCATCTACTAGGACACCCAGATCATTTCCATGCTTGATTTCCCCATGCGTGTAATTTGCATGCATATTTTTAGCTCCCAAGTGCATTACTTTATGTTTTCCTACACTGAACATCATCTGCAATATAGCTGCCCACCCATCGATTTTAAATAGCTCTTCTTGTAAGGTTTCTATATCCTGAAGTTGCGAAGGTATTGCCCCACTTAGCTTTGTATCATCAGAAAACACTGAGTATGACTGATCACCAGTCTCTGACATTGACTACTTTAATGTCCAAATGGCTTTCATCGGTTCGAGCTGGACCATTGTAGCTATGCAAAAAATGACACTATTAATAATACCTGTATATTAGCTATAAAGAAAACTTCTTCAAACAGTATATTATTTGATGCTCCAATCTATTAGGGTACAAAGAGCAGCTGAGATCCGGTATGTGACCGAGCACCCCAAGCTCCACCTACCGATTTCAGACCGCAAAGTTTAAGGAGATGGATGTAGATTGACAGCACTTGTGTCATCCTCTGTGTGTTTTCCTGACACAAGCACTGTCACCCTGAATGCAGGGGAGGGGGTTTGTCAGTTTACTACTGAACAACACAGACACTCTCATGGCAGCGCTGTTCCTGTGCACCTCACACATATCTGTCTGTTCACCAGCTGAAATCAGCAGTGGTGATAGAACAATGCCCTGCTTCCAACTGTACATAGAACACGGCACAAGGATTTCATAACAAATAGTATGTTTAAATAATTTTTTCCATTACATGTTTATGTAGAAGAATTTTACATTTACAATGATCGCCCTTTAAATGTACTCAGTCCAATTATGCATCTGCCCAAGTTTCAGTTGCAATCAAGGAGAAAAGGGGGAGGGCTGCGCGTTGAAATAGCGAGAGAAGGGGGAGGTGTGGCCGCCTGCCGACGGGGATGGCCGCTTAGTGCAGGAGCTCCGGGACCCGTCCGCAATCACCGCGGCTCACAGCGACGAGGGCAGGGTAGTGTGACCCATCCTCACCTGGCACCTGCCCCAACAGTGTGGGAACCGATCCCTGAGTATGGGGAAAACAAAGATCAAAGAGGGGCCTCGCAAACTAACGGAGTTCTTTACTCCGGCGGGCGGCCCCTCCTTCTCCCAAGATGGAGCCGGTCCCAGCAGCTCGCCTACCTACAGCCATATATGGCAGAGGAGAGTCCTCGTTCCCACTCTCAGCAGTCTCAGCCTCCTAGCCCTGTACAACCTGCAGGAACTATACCTGCCACCAGCCCTCAAAAAGCAAAACAGCACTGCTCCTCTGATCCACAGCTGCCTGGTGAGCACATTACGGATTCCTTTTCTCATAATCATACCATTGCGTTTGTTGAGTGTTTGGAAGATTACCCTGCTGAAAATCTGCCTTGACCGCTTCTGTTATGAAAGATATGCTTGTCACTTAAAGGTTCTTTACACAAGGACATGATGAGTTTTGTGACACGGGTGAATGCAGAGGCTGAGAATCTAGGAGAGCGGGGCAATCATGTGGAAACTAAAATGGGAGAGTTTGCAACTGCCCACAACGAATTAGTGGATGTGCACAATGACGCGGAAGAGGAATTGAAGGCGCTAAAATCAAAGATGGCAGATCTGGAAGATCGCTCACGTAGAAATAATATTAAATTCAGGGGGATGAGCGAAACAGTTCCCGCTGCAGATCTTAGAAGATATATTCAGCAATTGATTACAGCTTTATTGCTGAGTCTGTCTGAAAGGGATGTGATTGTGGATAGAGCGCACATACTGCCGAAACCTTCCTTTCTCCCTGACCGTGTCCCCAGGGATGTCATTGCTAGACTCCACTTCTACCATGTGAAGGAGTCACTGATGGCCTTTGCGAGAACGCATAATCCATTACCGGCACCGTATAATGGAATATTGCTGTTCGCTGACCTCTCCCAATATACCATTCTTGCCTGTAAAAAATTGCTCTCCTTTACAAAATTGCTCCATAATAACAACATAATATATCAGTGAAGCTTCCCACTAAATTATTGATTACTAAGGATAACCGTTTACTGACTGTCACCTCAGAAGAAGAAGGATTTCAGCTTGTGAAGAAATGGGGGATTATACCTGCAGAAGGAGACATGCCGTCCGCTAAATCATCCCCTAGGAAAGTTTCCTCTGATTGGGACAAAGTGGAGGATTGAGAACCTGCTTTGCAGTTCTAAGCTTTGCTTGGGTCGAGGGAGGGTTCCTCCTCTAGTCCAGTACCATGTTCCCTTGGCGGGTGCGTCTGCTCCTGGGTCCTGGAATTTACCCCCCAACCTGTTGAAGTGATTCGGTTCACCTGCTCTTTCTTAATGTGTGTTCTTTATTTTGTTTTTTCCCAATTTTCTTTCCTTTTTATTATTTCTGATTTTTCTAACAGAGTATCAGCATCTGCTTTATCTCAGGAACTCTCATGGGACACCGAACAACTGTCTCTGATGATGGGGTTGTCTGTGCATCTGCTCCAGGGAGACCTGGTTATTGTGATTGGTTTTATACATGCCAACATTGCTGTGCTGCTAATATTTTTTGGGCCACTAGATGGCGACTATGTACTATCTATTTGGCATACTTTAAAATGGTATTGAATGTTGTATCTATTATTGCTCATGGATTAACAACCAGTTCAAACGTGGCATGTTATGGAAGGAGGCAAAGAACCTCCGTGGGGACATCATCTGTGTGCAAGAAACCCACTTCTCAGCTCTTAAAGCCCCCTGCTGGTCCCATAAATTGTTTCCCCATGTGTTTAGAGCTAATGCCCCTCAGAAAAAATGTGGTGTCCTGATTGCCATAAAATAGTCCGTAGCAGTCTCTCTTCTTTCTCTGGAAAGAGAACGGAAGGGTAGGTTCTTAATAATGGTGTGTGAACTTAATAACATTCCTTATACGATTGTGAACCTATATGCCCCTAACATTAACCAAATTTTGTTTTTCAACTCACTGAGGAAAAAGGTTTAAAAAAATTCAGAAAGGGTATTTACTTTACTGTGGTGACTTTAATGCTATTGTCCATAAATCCTTGGATGTTTCGGGGCAGTCGCGGGGGGATACGGTGTTCGATGGCGTCGACCCTTCGAGAGTCCAATCTCTATGATCCTTGGATTCGGAGAAAAACTTCAGGTACTACTCGTCCCCGCATAAATCCTACTCGAGAATCGATTATTTCCTGACCCGATTTACAACTTCTTCAGAGTGTGACCAAAGCAACCATCCATCCTATGACGTGGTCAGACCACACGCTCATATCCCTCAGCATTAAAGAGAATTTAAAGTTTTCACCAGTATTCCTGTGGCGCAATGATGCTTCTATGTTCTTTAATCCGAGTAGTTGCTCACATATTTCTAAATCATTGCAGGAGTATTTTTCTATGAATGCATCCTCAGAAACGGATATATTCAACGTGTGGTGTGCACATAAGGCTGTTTGCAGATGTGTACTACTCCAGTTAGCTTCCAGGGAGAAAAAAAACGTAGACAAAGTGTATGGTTGACATCCTATCTAAGATCGCTTGTTTGGAATCCCAAAACAAACAGAGTTTGTCTGATAAGATATTACAGGATTTACAGTCTCATAGATTAGCTCTTAGGGAACTTCTCTTAGTCCAGCATGAAAAGTACCTTAGAAAGGCCAAAACTAATTACTATACCCAGGGTAATAAGGCCGGTAGATTAATGGCCTCCTACATCAACACTATACAGGCGAAAGCCAAAATCCCTTCACTTATAGATCCCATTTCGCTGAAAAAGGTCTTCAAATCCTACCAAATTGCGGAGGCATTTCGGGCCTACTACGCTCAATTGTATAATCTCCAAGATGATGGACATTTTGAACCAACCTATATCAGATTATGAGGTGAGAGCCGCCATTAAAGCGTTACCAAATGGAAATCGCCTGGGGCGGACGGGTTCATGGCAGAATACTATAAGGAATTTCAAGACATTTTATTGCCCCACCTTAAAAGAGTGTTCCTGGAGGCAGCCGGTACGGCAGCCTTTCCCTTTGAGATGTTGAAAGCAATTATAGTTACTTTACCCAAACCAGGCAAATCCCCCAGATTGTCCTCAAAACTTTCACCCCATATCCTTACTTAATACGGATCTTAAACTCTATGCTAAAATCCTTGCCACTAGATTGTTAACGGTGACTCCTTCTCTTCTCCAATCAGATCAAGTAGGTTTTGTTAAAGGCAGGCAGCGGATGGCACACGTAGAGTGCTTAATCTGTTACGGATTGCTGAACTCCGTAACTCGCAGACTGTACTTCTGGCTTTGGATGCAGAAAAGGCATTCGACAGAGTTCATTGGCAATACCTTGACACTACTCTTGGCAACTTTGGTTTGCATGGATACATTAGATCAGCTATTACAGCGCTATATACTGTGCCCACAGCGCAAGTTTTCACATCCAATGCTTTATTGGAACCTTTTTCAATTACAAATGGGACTAGACAGGGATGTCCTCTTTCTCCTATCATTTTCTCATCATCATGGAACCCTTGGCGACCTCAATTAAACTGAATCCCTTGATTTCTGGTATAAAAACTGCACACATGTCCCACAAGATCAGTCTATTTGCGGATGATGTTATTCTTACCGTAACGGACCCTTTGACTTCCCTGACAGCAATTTCCTCTACCCTGGATACGTTTAGCATGGTCTCTTACTATAAACTCAATATTACTACATATTGTGCGCTTCCTATAGATATTTCAAAAGAAATTTTTGCAGAACCTTAAAGATAAGTTCCCGTACAGCTGGTCCACTAAAAGTCTAGACTACTTGGGCAGTCGTGTGTCCTTTCCCTCTTCCAACATGATTAAAGATAAATTATGAGTCATTGTTTCAGGCACTGTTGAAGGAGTTGTTGGCATTGGAAAAACTGAACTCTCCTGGTTGGGTAGATTAGTGGCCTTTAAGACTAAACTTTTATATGTTTTCAGGACGATTCCGATCCTCATTCCCCATTCCTACTTTAATAAATTGGATATAACATTGAAAAAAATATCTTTGGAAAGGGAGGAAACCTAGAATTCCGTTCTCCGCTCTCGTTTAACATAAATCTAAGGGGGGTGTAGGTTTCCCTGTAATATCCAACTTTTACTACACGGCATTACTGGACCAACTCCAACATTGGTTCAACCACCCGAATAAGTTATGGGTAGAAATAGAGAGGAGTACAGTCCCAGCTCAGGACCTCCAGGCATTAATACTAGCAAAAAGTTATCTCCTAGAAGTTAATACGTACCCATCTTCCTTTGATCTCGGCTACCTTGGGTGCCTGGCTAATAGGTTTATCTAAATCTACTTTCACTATCCCTAAAATACGGCTGGACATTCCACTGGAAACTTATGACCATATCAATCCAAATCTTAATACGAAGCCTTTGCGAGATGCGGGCTTTTTCAATTACTCGGATATCCCTACTCTGTCCCCCAGGGGAAGCCTTTATCAATGCCTTCAAATCCAGGCTTATCTTGGTGCCACTCCCAATGCATGGGTGGAGGTGGACTCGAAGATCTGGCAAGCTTTGACGAACCCGTTGGGACTGAAAAAGGGTATATCATGGTTCTACAGATTTTTGCAACATGATCCAGATCACTCTGTATTAACATGTGTGGAAAAATGGGAACGGGACTTAATAGATCTTTCACTCCAGAGGAGTGGCGGGCAGCTTGGTCCTGTAATATAAGTCTTTCGACGTGTACTAATCATTGGGAACAGCTACCTCAAAATCCTACACCACAGTTATATTACCCCATTTAAACTTTCAAAAATGTATTCTGATGCATCCTCTTCATGTGTGAGGAATTGTGGCGGTATTGGAAATTTACTACATGTATTCTGGGACTGTAGGTGCATCCGGAGTTTTTGGAAAGATGTGTTTCATTTGATCTCTCGAGTGTCCAAAGTATATACGAATCCCAATCCCCATTTGGCGTTATTAAATCTTACGTTGAATTTATTTGCAGTACAATCCCACACAGTGGTTGCTCACACTCTAATTGCTGCCCGATTAACTCTTACTAAAGCGTGGAAATCCACTTTATCTCCTTCAGCTTCGGAGGTTATTCATAGAGTACATTCTCATTACCTGTATGAAAGGTCCTATGCAATTTCAAATCATACTCTACAGGTTTTTGATACTAGATGGTTTTGTTGTAATGTTCTGTTCAAGCTCTCTGACTTTTGATAGTTATAAGATACATATTGCTAAAAGATGCACTCCGACTCTTTCTCTTTATGGAGTTACAGCTTTTTCGCTACCCCATCTTCTCTTTTCTTTCTTCTTTGTCCAAGTTCTTTTGGAATGTTTTCTCCCTGTATCCTCTTAACTTCTTCTTATGTTTAATTTGTGTTTTGTTGGGCAACAATTGTGCATTGTTTAATTTTTGGCGTAGAATCAGCATAATATTTTCTATCCTTTTGTATTAAATTTGCTGTGTCTAGCCAGAATAATGTTTGACATGTATATGACTGTATTTCTGTTAATGTCACGGTATCTCATTCTTTGTTATTATCTTTGAAAAAAACCTGAATAAAAACGAACTGAAAGGAAAAGCGAGAAGAGAAATGAAGGGGTGGGGTGGGGGAGCTAAAGAAAAAAAAGAAAAGGGAAAAGCCATATGGTAAACTGAGAGAAAGGATAACAGGGAAACCTCCCTACTGTAGAGAGGTCCACATGGGGTGAGAAGCTCAACTGCCCAGGACTGCTGGCTACAAGTATGGTGACATCTTTGTATTCTATCATTCTCTATGTTGGTACCCGGGCGTCAAGTGGCTGTATACCACGCACTATGTAAAAATAATTTATGAAAGCTTTGTTCTGGCACAGATGCTTCTCCTAGCTTTTACTCAGACATGGCAAGTGAGAGCAGCACAGGAACAGCACTACTGTGAGCATGCCTGTGTGGTTCAGTGTTAGACTAAGCACCCCCCCCCCCCCTTTTTAGTAGGAAATCAGTAGGCAGAGCTGGGGGTGCATTGTCAGATACTGGATTTTAGCTTCTACTGTTCCTATAAAGATAGGGCAGTGATCTGTAATCACTTTGTACGTTAGGGGACTGGAGCATCAAATAATATACAAAGTGACAGTCCTTCTTTAAATAAGATGGGTTCCATTTGCATACTCTAAGGAGGTTCTAATTACTGGCAAACTAATCTGGAACACCAGATTTTAAATTCATGGATTTTAAGCGGTGGTAAATGTAGAGGTGTACTTAACCTCTCCCATATTACAAATCTGCATTATTGTTAAACTGGAACAAAAGTCCCACTTTTGAAAATTGCAAGCAGACAAGCTCTTTATTGCAGAAGAGACATGCAAGGTCTCTTCTCCTAAAAAAAAAAAAAAATATACCTACCTGCTTGCAGTCTTCTGTGGAATATACACTGAGCTGTGCATGAACAGCCATAGCCTGGCACCTAAAAGAAGCTGGGCACAAAATGCCAACACTGGTGAGGGACCATTGAAAGTAAGTAAGTATTGTGGAATTTAGCATCGCCTTAATTTAAATCCTGAAAATTAGTATACCGTGTCATGTGTCATTAGTTTAAGTATATCATCTTTAACTGTGGGTACTATTTGAATCAAGATCTCATGTTTGACTGCTCCATTTTCATAGGTTTACTTACTTTTTCAAATGATTGCAAATATAAATTTGAATGTTTTTTATTAACATTTTCATACTCCGAGTTATTTATTTATTACTGTCTCCCATTTCTTGGCTGATTGGGTGCATGCCTTCTGAAGGTGAACTTTTTATTAGCTGAACACTGGGTTTGAGAGTAAACTGAGAAGAGAACACTAGGAATTCTACTTGTTTGGAGTTTATATAATCTTCCTTTCTGTGTTCTTGGTTTCCTCAAGCATATACTGTATATACTAGTAGGTTAACTGGCATATTTCTAAATTTTTCCTATCATGCCTTCACATGTTTAAAAGCCTATTTAACAGGATCTACATTGTACTAGTACCTCAATTTTCATAGTCTTATCTTCATTTTTATGTTACAGCAGTTGCTGTGTGTCTTTATATGACAGTGCAGTCCTAAGGGCACTACAATTTGATCTAGAGAAGTGGTTCTCAGCCTCAGTTCTCAGGTATCCCCAAACAGGTTACATTATCAGAATTTCCTTGCACAGGTGCTTTAACTCAATGCCTATGGCTTCATATTTATGACAGCTATTTTATCTAATGGAAATTCTCAATAAAATTGCTTGTTGGGGGGTATTTGAGGACTGAAGTTGGGAACCATTTACCTAGAGTAATCCAACACCTGTCAGACACAACCCCTTTTTTCCTTCCTTCCTGTGCACTATGTATTTCTGGCCAGGGCTCATCCATGCCTGCATAGAGTGCTGGAGAGTGCACATTTCCATTGTCAAAAAATGTAATCAAGGCATAAAAAACAACCAGTTAAAAATCATAAAAAAGATCTCATTCCAGTACACTGGATTAACTTGGATTTAGGGCTCAGTAAAAGTAATTTGTAAACATTGCAGAATATTTGAGAATTATGGAAATTAAACAAAAAATAAATAAGATAGCCTAGGAGGACTGCTTACCTTGACAAGGCGTGAAAACACAATGGAGGAACCATATTCCTGACATAGAGAAGTGGCTGATTCACTAAGGATGTGAGATTTTCAAGCAGATGAATGTGGCACAACAAAACTCCAAGATCTTTGTATAATCGCTTACAGAAAGCCATTTCTGAGTTGTACAGGGTCTCTAGCTTTTCATTCTCTCCTTTTGGCCTGTACCAAATTGCAGAAAACAGTCATGTAGTACTGTAAAAAGTATACTGGAGATAGTTTTCAGAAGAAAAGAGAAGGTACTTTCTGTACTACTCAGACATATTCTTACATTTCCAATCTGTACAAAAACATAACATACATAAGCATGCACATACTCACTGAGTATGAGACCCAACACAACAACAAAGATGAAGATTCAGTCTAATGAAATATACAGAAATTGTGCACACTGTATACCTGCTTGATAGAGTTTCCCACAGTTCTTTAATAGCTTTGTCTTTCAATCCTTCCAAAATAAAGAGGTGGATGGATCTATCCATAATATGTATACCGGTTATAATATCCAGGGTAGTATCCCTTTTCTGATTATCAGTCAATGAAACTCTGGACAGAGCTTCCACAGTGCCATTCCAAGGGTAAAAATCTAAGCCCAAGGCCTTTGAGTTGATATTTGCAATCTTAATGATAAAATCCCTGAACAGTTCTCTGTTGTTGTATTCAAAAATGCAGACCATACGCCCAAAGGGACAATCGGGAGTCTCTTCATCAAAAGACAGTGGCACTGCAAGGTCTACTCTAACTTTCAGGTGTGATTGGGCATCCAAATAATGTCCCATTGGCAACGGGGAATCTTTAGGACCATCAACTGACCCTACAATCCCTAAAATTTTTCCACTGTTGCTGTCCGATTGATAACCTGTGGGATCTGGGCATTCGCAGCTGAGAACTGGAACAGAAATGTTTAAATATGTGGCACCATAGACCAGCTCAGATAAACTTAGCCTTGCAACTCCATAGGGATCCCATTGTTTGTTACTCTTTGTGAATGGATTGTGGACAGTACGTTTAGAAGTGACAAGACCAACGTTACTCAATTTCTCATCTTCAGGTTCCATGCCAAAAAGTGAAGGCTTGCTGATACTCTCCTCTATCCTCTGATCTCGATCATGTACCTCAATCTCTACAGGAGGTCCAAGAAGAGATTCACACAGTTCACCCACACTTATGGTTCCTGCAAAAATAACACAGACATCCCTGAAGAAAACATGTGTTCCGTGAGTTTGTCCATGTGTCTGGTGATAAGACTGGTCCCAGAATCTGTATCTGCAGTAGACAGGTACACATTTCTCCTGTAAAAAAAAAAAAAAAAAGAATAAAAATTATATGTACAATGAAGGAAAAAAGTATTTGATCCCCTGCTGATTTTGAATGTTTGCCCACTCACAAAGAAATGATCAGTCTAAAAATCGAATGGTAAGTGTATTTTAACACAGAGACAGAATAGCAACAAAAAATTCAAAAGAAATGCATGTCTAACAAATTATGCACTGATTTGCATGTTCATGAGGGATATAAGTATAGGGATATAAGTATTTTACACGACTTAGTACTTGGTGGCAAATCCCTTGTTGGCAATCACAGAGGTCAGATGTGTCCTGTAGTTGGCCACCAGGTTCGCATACATCTCAGGAGGGATAGAGGCCCACTCCTCTTGGCAGATCCTGTCCAAGTCACTAAGGTTTGGTGGCTGACGGCTCCCTCCACAGATTTTCACTTGGATTAAGGTCTGGAGACTGGCTAGGCTACTCCAGGACCTTAATGTGCTTCTACTTGAGCCACTCCTTTGTTGCTTTGGCCGTGTGTTTTGGGTCATTGTCATGCTGGAACACCCATCCACGACCCATTTTTAATGCCCTGGCTGAAGGAAGAAGGCTCTCACCCAAGATTTGATGGTACATTGCCCCGTCCATTGTCCCTTTGATGCGGTGCAGTTGTCCTGTCCCCTTAGCAGAAAAACACCCCCAAAGCAGAATGTTTCCACCACCATGTTTGAAAGCTGTGATGGAGTTCTTGTGGTCATAGGCAGCATTCCTCCTCCTCCAAACACGACGAGTTGAGTTGATGCCAAAGAGCTCGATTTTGGTCTCATCTGACCACAACACTTTCAACCAGTCCTCCTCTGCATCATTCAGATGTTCAGTGGCAAACTTCAGACAGGCCTGGACATGTGCTTTCTTGAGCAGAGAGACCTTGCGGGCACTGCAGGATTTCAATCCTTGTCGGCGTAGTGTGTTACCAATTGTTTTCTTGGCGACTGTGGTCCCAGCTGCCTGGAGATCATTGACAAGATCCTCATGTGTAGTTCTGGCATGATTCCTCACTGTTCTCATGATCAATGACACTCCACGAGGTGAGATCTTGCATGGTGCACCAGACATAGGGAGACTGACAGTTGTTTTGTGTTTCTTCCATTTGTGAATGATTGCACCAACTGTTGTCACCTTCTCACCAAGCTGCTTGGTGATAGTTTGGTAGCCCAGTCTAGCCTTGTGCAGGTCTACAATCTTGTCCCTGACATCCTTGGACAGTTCTGTGGTCTTTACCATTGTGGAGAGTTTGAAATCTCATTGCTCCTGTGGACAGGTGTCTTTTATACAGGTAACAAAATGAGATTAGCAGCACTCCCTTTAAGAGACTGCTTCTAAGCTCAGCTTGTTACCTGTATGAAAGACACCTGGTAGCCAGAAATCCTGCTGAATGATAGGGGATCAAATACTTATTTCCCTAATGAACATGCAAATCAGTGCATAATTTGTTAGACATGCATTTGTTTTGATTTTTTTGTTGCTATTCTGTCTCTCAGTGTTACAATACACCTACCATGCGATTTTTAGATTGATCATTTCTTTGTGAGTGGGGGAAAACATTCAAAATCAGCAGGGGATCAAATACTTATTTCCTTCACTATATATATATATATATATATATATATATATATATATATATATATATATCAAAAATTGTAGCAGGTAACTCCTGTTATGTTGCAAATCCTATCTGTTGGGGATCTCATTAATGACGGGCTCCCATAAATCCATCCATATAACATATGCAAAAACAAATGAGAGCGAGATCTCCAAGTTGAAAAAATTCTTTCCTGACTGACTCCATGGCAGCATACGTATGGGGTTAGTTCCGCCTTCTCCTCTCCTATAGGACCCCACTCCCATAAATGTTTGCTCCTCACCAGAGGCTGTGTTCCTTTTTTGTCCTCCTCCTATGGACCTAGTGGAAGTCTTACCTGGTTCCCACATACAAGATGGTCCACGACCAAGGACTGGCGAGCCTCTCTGGGAGATGCGAGGTGACGTGCTGCTTGTCAGTTGCACGGGTCCCCAGCTAAAGGCAGGGTATTGGATGTGGCGGCTGGATGTGCTGCTGGGACTGGCGGCATGCATCCCCTCATCAATTCCAGCGTTCCCCAGCTAATAGCAGGGTGGAAATGGGCAAGCAGGAGATGGTGCCTGGAAGAGCTCAGATCTGCCAATGGCGGGGGCGAGCCTGCGGATGGCCATGTAGCGCCCCGGAACGGATAAGGCGGTCTCCAAGGCAGGCGGTCCTGGCTGTGCGGGGTTGGTAAGCTGTGCGTTGTGCCCCGTTCAGGTCTCATTTTTACGCTCCAGGCCACCACTTCCTGGTTCAAGCAGTCTTCAGCGCACTGCGCATGTGCGACACGGCCTCAGAATGAGGCTTGGCTTTGCAAGTGAGCAGTGCGGCAAGATGGCAGCGCTCGCTCATGTACGCAGACGTTCCGGGTGCCGACACATGTGTAGTACGGCATCAGTGACATCATAGTCAGGTGGCAAATTTACACAACTGTCAAAGCTGTTTTCTTTGGGAAATCCTGTGGGCTGAATGAGGCAGCTTCCCCAAGTGCTGTGGTCCACTGTGAAGGTCAGTACCTGCTCCCTCCTGCCCCCCCTGGTGGTCTGCTGGGATTCTGCATGTAATTTTTTTTTTCAGCTTGGTTGCCTTCGCAGCTAGCCCGGCATGGATGTGTCACTGCCTATTTGTGGCCAGCCCCTGTGGACGGGCGGCTTTATCCCCTTGATCCCCCACTGGCACCTTTCTGTGGCTTTTAACTATTCCCTGTTCTGTGTCTCTTTTTTTTCAGCCCTTCTAGGTCTGATCGCCACATTATGGCACACGATGATGGAGGTGTTTCCAGGTCTTAACATCATCACTCTTCCTCTAAATCTGGATGCCACAGGTCTCCTTTCAGCTCCAGGCATCATAGAAGCTCTTGTTCCTCCTCCAGGCATCACGTTAAGGGGCATTTTGGCCGCTCCAGTAGGAAAACTTGCTGGGGCTGCGAATCTCAGGTTCCTGATCACAGATCATTATGTGACTATTTTGCATGGGTAACCAGCAGGATGGAAAGTGCCAACCAACAGGTAGAGGCTTTGGAGTTCAAGAGTCCCTGAAGGAAATTGGGACCAGTCGTGCCCACAACCCAATGGTCAGGGTGTGCTTCCATCCCAAAGATCCCCAAGAGGGATAGAGCCTTCGAAACCTAGCCACCTATCAGCCGGAGCCTCAGACAGTGAGGAGAGTGAGGATCCATATGAGGGCTTCGACTTCGCTTTGGTCTCGCCTTTAGCCAAAGAGGCTCTGAAGTGAGAAGAAGCCATGGAGTCTCCTCCTAACACAGGAAATTATTCAAATATCTAAGGAAGGATCGTCCAAACTTTCCATTCATGGAGGAACTCAGGGAAATTTTCACTGAGGAGTGGAGCAATGTCGATAAGAGGGCCTCCTTGCTGAACAAAGCAGCCAAGCTTTATACGTTCAAATCAGAGGATGTCAAACATTTAAAATCGGCCCTCTGGTGGATGCGGCCTTGATGAGGCTAACCAAGCACGTTACCTTCCCTCTCAAAGATTCAGTGTACGTCAAGGACGACTTGGAAAGGAGAATTGATTCTGAATTCAAACGAATCTATACTACGGCAGGGATTGCTTGCAGGCTGGTGCTTGCCTTAGCGGCCTTATCTAAAGCTATGGATGTGTGGTCAGATAACGTGGATATGGCCCTCAGAGGCGTTCCGGAAGAGGTTGCAAGGAACTCAGCTATCCAGGAGCTGAGGTTGGCATCTGCCTTTCTGGGAGAGGCCTCAATCGAACTTACCCGTCTGCTGGCTCGGGTTATGCTGTGCTCTGTGACAGCCAAGCGTGCATTGTGGCTTTGGCCCTTGTTGGCCAATCCAGCCTCTAAGCAGGCATGGTGCAAGATCCCATTTGAGGGTCCCTCCCTGTTTGGGAATTAACTGGACAGCGCTATAACCTGGGCTACAGGCGGAAGGTCTGGTTTCCTGCCCCAGAATCGGCGTCTGCTAGGCCAGAGAGCTCAACCAAGAAGTCAAGGCTTGGAACGAGCTAGAGACATGTGCCTCTACAAGCCAGGCCGCAAATTCAAGAAAAGCTGGAGGAGAAGCTGTTCGTCTTTTCAGAATTCCTCCAAGGGCTGGACCTCTGGAGGTTCTGAGGCCACAAAGTCCTTTGAGATTGGTTCCACTCAGGCAGGCCAGGTGAGG